AACACGGCTTGGGTTTTCAAGACTCGGTGCCTAGAGATGGTCAAGTGACTCTCACTAATTTATATGTATATATATTATTTAGAGAACTCGTATCTTAAAGTTAAGATATAACTGACATATTGGTTTCAACAACACAATGATTCAATGTTTGTATATACTGCAAAACTAATTTTTATATTGATTCCATGTTAAAATAAAATTTTTGCTATATTAGGTTAAATAGATTCATTAAAATTTCACCTTTTTAAATGTGGTTACTAAGAATTTCAAATTACATACATATGTGGCTTGCATGTTATCTCTGTCATCAGGGTGGTTCTACAAGTTCTTGAGAAGGCACTGAAGCTGATGAAAATATATATATATATAATATACATATATTGTAAGTGAAACATGCAAAAGGAAATGTCAGGTGGTGGTATTATTAAATGCCACAGGAAGGATACAGGCTCAGGCACGCGTCGGCTCAGGGCCCCCGCCGCCCCCCATAACAAGGAACCACAGCCTGGGTGGCTTCAGCATCAGACGGTTTTCTCATAGTCCTGGAGGCTGGGCATCTGAGATGCAGGTGTGGGCAGGGCTGGTTCCTGTAGAAGCCTCTGTCCTCAGCGTGCAGACGGCCGGCTTCTCCCTGCATCCTCACGTGGTCATCCCTGGTGCCTCCGTGTCCTGATCTCCTTTTACAAGGACACCAGTCCTACGGGAAGAGGGCCCAGCCTAAACCCTCGTTTTAACTCAGTCACCTTTTGAAAGGCTGTCTCCAGACAGTCATGCTGTGAGGTACAGAGGTAGGAACTCAACAGATGAATCTGGGGGACAGCTCCGCCCACAAGGGAGGACGAGGCGGTGAGATTCTGGGAAGAAACCCCTGCTGGGGGGATGCTGGGGAAGGGGAGACCAGGGCTGGCGTGTCTGAGGCTTGCCACGGGGTCCAGTTCTCAGAAATAATAACCAGCTGGGGAAAACCCCAGACCTTCTGCTCACTCTGGAAAACCTGGGGCCGTGAACAGGGTGGGGACTGGAACCACAAGAAAAAGGACTACAGGCAAGAGTTGTTAATTTGGAAATTGGTTTTTGTTTGTTTTGGCACTTGCTTGTTTTTAAATGACCAACATGGCTCAGAGGTGTGGAAGTTCTGAGAGATGCTGTCGATTTCACTTTAAAATGAGAATCTGGTGTTTCTGTAGGTTATTGCTTTCAATAAAACTCCTTAAGTGTTTTGGAAATAACAACAAAACTCCAGTGAAGTACATCAGTAGATGCTTTTATGGAAAATTTCCAAGACAACTGTTAAGTGAGAAAAGAAATCCAAGCTGCAGAACCACCCAGTTATTCTGAAAGCACGGAGAAGCCCAGGGAGACTGAACGCCGCACTGCATGTCAGGTGTGCGCAGCCCCCGCAGGTGGACGAGCTGGGTGGGGCCGGGGGCTGCCTCACACGCGACCTTTCTGCTGCTGGGGCGTTTCTTTGTGTGCTGAAAGTACGTCAGCGTCGTGCAGCTGAAGATACAGAGAATGAGAAGAAAACGGAAGCCACAAGGGGACGGGCCACAGGGTGTTGGCCCCTTGTGCTGTGTGACTTTGGGTGAGGCCCTGCCCCTCTCTGGGCCCGAAGCAGGAGTTTAAGCAGCTTGGTAAAGCCACTGGTCCTCACATGTACATGCACATGCATGTACAGACACGTGACACAGCCACCCATGCACACAGGTCCACACATGCAGTCCTGCATGTGGGCGTGTGCACACACCCCTGCCTGTCCTGCTCTGGACCTCAGGGTCACCCCTCTGAGGCTGCCTGGGGACAGATGCCCGGCAGCCTTCACTTGGCCCTGGCATCCTGGCGACACTGAACCACGAGGGAAACAGCCCACGTGTGACCCAGAAGCTGGGGTCGTGGGGGCAGCTGACCCTGCCAGGAGGGCCGGGCCTGGGACGGACTCAGGCCCTTTCCAAACCTCCACCTCCTCCTCTGATGAGATCCAGCCTGCAGGATCACCATGGGATGGGAGTCAGCTCACAGGCGGGATGGAGATTTGCACGCTGGGATGTTCCCATCGCGGCGGGCAGGGGAGCACCTACCAGACTGGAACGGGGTCGCGTCACGTGCTGATTCTGACCCAGCAGGCCCCAGTGTGTCTAACCTCCTCCTGGGTGATGCACTGGTTGTGGTCCACATCGGGGTCGTGTTCATTCCCAGAGCTTGGCAGAGACCACACTGTATGCCGGTGAGCTGCCTGGTGCAGGGGGAGGTGGGGTCCCGGGGGTCCCCAGGGGCCCGGCAGGCAGCGCCCTCCTCCCTGGGAGCCCAGGGGGACGCTGCAAGTAGCCTGGCGCACACCAAACCCCATTCTGTCCTGCCAATTACGGCTTATCGCTGCAGCACTAATCCCTAAAAATTAGTCATTAGCGGCTTAACAACCCCTTAGCATCGGTGCCCGCTAATGAGCTGGTGGCAGAGGGGGTCTGCCAGAACCAGACCCTTCTGGGGTCCGGCTCCCCACGCGAGTGTGCTCGGAGCCCCCGGCAGGCGGGGGGGAAGGGGGCGGGCAAGCTCGGCAGCCTGTGACCCAGTTGACTGGGAGGAGAGCAGAGGCCTCTGTGCCCCGTCCTGCTCAGATGCATCCCTGGGCGGGGGGTCAGCCCCTTCTGACGCTTCAGGGACAGAAATCTCATAACAGCACAAGCATTGTCACCCTGGGGCTGGCCCCGAGCCGGCGCTGCTTCGGTCGTCCAGGCCTGGGGTGGGTTTCCCACCTGGAAGCGGCCTCAGGGACCTTCTCACTGTGGACCAAGGTGGGGAGCCTGGGGTAGGGGGGAGACCAGGGCCGTGTGCTCACGTAAGGCTAGACTTGGGGGAGGCTTAGCTGCCGGGCACCCGCCCTGTCCTGCAAAGATGCGGCCAGTGCTGGCTCCACCAGGAGAAGCCCTCCCTGGGGGCTGACTCTCAGGAGGTGACAGCAGGCGGGGACAGGTGGTGCTGGGTGACCCAGGGCACGAAGCGCAAGATGGGGCTGAGCAGGCCCCTGGCCTGGGGGCTGCATTGCCCGTGGCACTCCGGGCCTGGCACGAGCGTGACCCCAGCCTCCCAGCCTGACTCACATGCCCCCAACCTTCCAGCGCCTTTTCTGCGGAGACTCTGGCCATGCGACCGAGGCCACCACCCTGGGGGTGCCCACCTGGCCTGCGCACCCCCATTGGCCCAGTGACCCCCGGGCAGATGCCCAGTGCCTCCGCCCTGGCCCGCGTTTCGGGACCGTCTGGCCTGTGTGACCCTCTTCCTGCCCCTGGCCAGCGGACCCCGGACCCTGGTACGTGCCCCACCGGGGAGCCGGCCCTAGTGAGCACCCTCCGCAGGCGGGGGCGTGCTGGTGCGCACAAGGGCCTTGCAGGGCTTTTTAGGGGCTGATTTTGTGTCAGGTTCTGATCGGAGCATTTTACTACCATTGGCAGCATCTAGTGTCAGCCACTTCACCCGGGAGGGACGTCGGGCTCAGGCCGCAGCCTCCCCCATGCCTGGGCCCGGGCCCAGCTCTCCAGGGGGCTCTCCATGACGGGGGCTCACGACGGGGCAGAGTCAGAGCCTGGTCCCCGGACACCCGCCTGCAGGACCTCGCCCCCCGTGAAGCGGCAGGAAGTCACCATCGAGGGTTTCGGGCTCCTGAGGGGAGGCAGGAGGGGGCCCACCTGCCTGAGGAGGCTCGCAGAGCCAAGGAGAGCACCTGGGGCTGCGCTGATGCGTCTGGGGCCCTGGGGAGCTGGGGATGTGGGGAGCGGAAACCCACTGGATGTCTGCCAGCCTCACTAAGCAGGGTCCCCGCCCCCGCCGGCTCAGCAGTGCTGCTTCTGCCCCAGCGCTGTGACGAGTGTCGGGCACAAAGCCGGGCCCCCACCCCCCAAGAGCTGGCGCTGGGTGCCCGGCTGTGTGTGAGGCACCCAGAGCATCTGAGGGGAGGGGAGCGGCACGGCCCAGCTGGACCAGAGTCCAGTTCGGAGCAGCCGGGCGCCTGGGAGGCCAATCCACACGCCAGGCCTCGGTCTTATCTGGGAGGAGGGAACGGCAACCCGGCAGCCGGACGAGCTGGGGGCTCCGGGTTCCAGCAGGAGGGCCTGGGCCAACCTCACAGTGACCCTGGGCTGGGCTGGGCTGGGCTGGGCCGGGCCGGGCCGGGCCACGTCCCAAAAGTCAAGGTCTGATACAGTCAAGGTCTGAGCTCCGGAGCTGACAGTGACGACAGGCTTGAGTGCAGAGCAGGATTGGGGGCGGCCCAGGCTCCGCCGGCCCCGCCTGGAGGTGACACGCAGGCCGCTCCACCCAGGGCTCTGGGGCTGTGCGCTGGGAGCAGGTGGGCCCAGTATCAGCCTTGCCCTGCCCGCCTCCCCGGCGGTGACCCGGGAACCCGCCGTGGGCAGTGCCCGGGTGGGTCTGTGGTCAAAGACTGGCCCCCAGGGCAGGGACAGAAGGACAGTCTGCCCCACGCCTGGGGCATGCGGGGGCCCTGGGGTTCAGATGCACACACGGTGAGGGGCTGAGGTGCTGAGGAGGCCTTTATTTCATAAGAGCTGGGGGCGTCGCAGGCGCCCTGCCTCACCTGCCTGGTCCCAGCACGGCCGGGCTGGAGCAAGCTGCAGTGAGTGGACACTGCGGGGAGGGGCAGGGAGCCGGCCACAGAACACCCCCCCACACCTGCCCTGCAGGACGGGGGGTGAGGAGGTGGGCCTGCCCTGCAGAGCGGGCGTGGGCTCAGGGCTCGGGGAGGGGGCCACCCTGAGCTGCTGAGCCCCCCTGACCTGGCCAGAGGTGCGCCCCTGGGCCCTGAGCTGGGGTGGGGCGCCCGGGCGGGGTGAGGGCGATGCTCAGAGGAGTCCCCACCGGGCTGCAAGGCTTGAGGCCCCATCGGGGCAGAAGCTGGGCTGGGCCCTGGGGGGCCGGCCGGCCCGGGACCCCGAGGAACGGACCGCGGGGCTCCTGCCGGCCGCCCGCTGCCCGCTCCGAGGCTGGGGGCCGGGGCTAGGCCAGCGTCTGGCGGCTGAAGAGGTCGAGGGTCAGGGCGCTGAGGAAGGCGGGGATGCTGTCCTGTTGCAGCAGGTGCAGCTCGATGAGCGCCGGCACGGTCCGTGAGAACGCCGTCTCCAGCAGCTGCATCTTGGTGCCCGAGGGGCCTGTGGCCTGCGGGGGACACGCACGCGTCAGCAGGTACGGGTCTGGGCAGACACCTCCCCCCAAGGCCCCAGGTCCAGATGCGGATGGGCGGCCCGGCCATCGCCCACGTCCAGGCGCGTCCCCGCGGGCGAGGCCAAGCCTCGGGCCTCATGGGCAGGGTCTCACCCCTTCTCTATGGTCCAGAAGTAGATGGGGGTGTGGCCTCCAGCTCACCAGCTCCTGCAGGTCAGTCCACCCGGCTCCCCCCCGCCCTCAGCCCCTGCCCTCGTGAGCTGGCCACACGAAGTCTGAGGCAGGTCTCACTGCCCTCGGGCCGGCTGCAGGGCAAGGGCAGGGCTTCTGTGGGCCGCCTCTGGCGCCCACCTGCCCACCCGTCCACCCGCCCAGGCTCAGATCCCATCCTTTCTGGCTGTGAGGCTTCAGGCAGGAGTGGAGGGGCTCCCCGCTGAGGGCGTGCTGGGGGGCCACCCCCTCCTGGAGGGCTTACTGCAGGCGGCAGATGGGGGCCACGCGTCCTGGAGAACCCAAAGGGTTGATTCCTTCCACGCTTCTTTGTCTAAATATCAGCTGAAGTTGGGGAAGTGCCAGGAAGGAAGACGGGCCTCCCTCTAAACACTGGGGGCCACAGGCCCCCAGACTAGCCTCACATGTGCGTTCGGAGACGTCTCGGGGCTAGCCGGGCTCACCAGGCAGGTCTGAGCAGAGCCAAGCCTGGGTGCTCGGCCACTGGAGGGGACGGAGGCCCAAAGGTGCCCAACCCTCGGGCAGGGCTCATGTGACCGCTCCCTCCTGCGGGCAGCGCCCAGGGGCAGGCGGGGGCTGCCTGCTGAGGTCTGGGAGAGCTGGGAGCGCAGGCCTGGGAGAGGCCGTCGAGCATTGGACAGGAGGCTGTGGCCTGCAGCCATATACCTCGAGGTGGGAGCGCTGGCGGGGCAGCTCGGAAGGGGAGGGGGGTGGGGGCCACCGAGGGCAGGTGGCCCCCCCCCAACGGAGCGGCCACCTGCCCAGCCTGCCCACCTGAGCCGCTCAGCTCCACCCCTGCCCAGAGGACACCAGCCGCCGCTCCGTTTAGAGAATCCGGGGCTGGGATACCCCAGTGACATGCACTCCCCTGGAGGCCCCTCCTTCCCAGGCAGCTCCTCGGACCCCCAAACCCGCCTGCCAGCTGAACCCTGGGGCTCTGCCTTGGTCCACGGGCGCCCGCCCCACCAGGATTCCCGGGAGGGCCCACGCACAGGGGCTGGCGGACACGCTCCTCCCAGCCGTGGAGACCCCGCAACACACCCCACCCAGGACAGGCATCTGTTACAGGACCAGGCGCAAAATGCACCTGCGACCCTCTCAACCAACGGTAAAAAGACAAGTGACAAAGGGTAGGGGAGCGACCCCCACGGACGCTTCCTCAGCACGGACAAACGTCCACAGCGCCGTCTGTCTCCAGGGAAACACGTGAAGTCCGTGTGAGACCTGCCCCAGGCTGCAAGGACCGCACTGGTGTGGACGTGGTGCTGACCGCCCAGCGGTTCCTCAGGAGAGAGCCCTGCAACCTGCGACACCACTCCTGGGCACGTGCCCAAGAGAAGTGAAAGCAGGTCCACACGGGAGCTGGCTCGGGAGTGTCCACGGCAGCAGCATTCAGCACGACAGCAAGACACGGATGACCGCCAACAGGCGAACAAGCCTGCACTGTGGCCACAGACGGGGCGACCCAGCCGTGGGAGGAGCAAGACACGCCCTGTGCACACAGCGCCATGGGCGGCTCACGCGGGCGCGCTGTGGGAGCCACCGCCGTGGGGTGTGCAGAGGAGCCGGGGGGTTCAGGGTGCAGGCACGGCCTCTGCGGGGGATGAGAGCCCCCCGCGTCGGCGACGGACGCTCCGAGAGGACCTGAGCTGCACATGCGGGTGGGCGCTCGCGGGGGCGAGGGCCACCCCTCTGTGGGCCTGCCCAGCAGAGGCCGAGGCGGTCCAGGCCCACACGGGCCATGGTGGGGGCCTGGGACCCCAGGGAGGGTGCGGCGTCTCGGGAGGAGCTGGGCGCCGCCGGGCCGGCCCCCTGACCCGCAGAACGTGGCCTCCCACCCGGCTGCGGGCACCTCCGGGCAGCTGGCCCCGTTCTCCTGCTCACTTAGCCCTGTCAGAGCTCAACACAGACTGTTTTTACACAAAAATACGAGAAACCACTCTGACCTTTACCGAGAAAATCCTTTCATTTCTGCCTTCTGCTCTTGATTCCAAGTCTCCCCTAAATGTCAGAGGGGCTGGCTCTCCTGTAGCTGTGGACCCCGCGCAGGCTGGGGGTGGGCGGGGGCTGAAGGGCAGCTGCATCTGTCTGGCCGGGGGGCGGGGCGCAGACCCCGTCTCCTGGCCCCCAGGGGCGGCCCTTCCGCTCTAACTGAACCGGGGCTCCTCCGGGTGCCTCCCCAGGCCCTGACTGCCCTTCACGTGCAGACGTGCCTCGCGGTGTCCACAGCAGGGCTGTGTGGGGCTGCTCGCTCAGCCCCCAGGCGCTCCCTCTGTGTCCGGGGACCTCGGGACAGGTCAGCCGGTCCGGGGGTGGCCCGCCCCAGGCCCAGCCCGCTGCCCGCCCTCCCAGGTGATGGCCGCCATGGACACTGTTCTCTGCCAGGGTCAGGCTTCCAGACGCTCCCGTCTGCAGAACAGGACCAGGGCTCCTTCAGCCAGGCTCTCACACGCTCCAGGGGCTTTCACGCACTCCCAGGCTAATCTGGGGGTGCTGCCCCAGAGTCCCCCCGCCTCCACGCCCGCACGGCACTCCCACCGACAGGGAGGAAGAGGCTGTCAGAAAGGGCGGCGGAGCAGGATGCCGGCCAGCTGCTCACAGGGCCAGGAAGAAAGGGGGTTCATTACGGTTTCCTGCGTTCTCCAGGGTTTTCACTGAGACTGCATGTAGTATTTGTGATCAGAAAAAACAAAACCTAAATTATATCCACGAGAGCTGAACAGCTCAAGGAACAGGCAAACATACCCACCCACACACACCCCATCCCTGCTACAGACACGCACTGACGTCTGTGTCAGCAACCCCCAGGCCGGGGCCAGGCAGGACCTGCGGTGGGGACACAGGGCATCAGGAGCCAGGCCTCGCAGGACAGCCTGCCTGGGGGCCTGTCCCCACCGGTCAGCCTCCAGGGCTGTGTGAGCTCGGCCAGGGCCTGGGGGCAGCACCTGGCTGGTTCCCCCAGATCTGAGCCGCCCTCCACCATGGGAGGGTGCCTCCAGGGATGCCCGCCTGTCCCAGGTGTCCACGCCGCCTGCCCACGAGTGTTCCGCAGGGAGAGACGCGCACACAGCCCCCTGGCTCCGAGAGCCTGGCTGTGTGGAGCGTCCCCCACGCCGTCCACGCCCGGCTGCTCTCCCCTTGCCTCGGAGCCCAGGCCCGAGGCCCACACGACTGCCCAGCCCTCCGAGGGCCTGCAGGCACGTCCCGCCACCCCCGGGGCCCGGCGCCTTCCCTTGTCAGCAGGAGATGCTGTCAACCCTGCGAGGCCGCCAGGCGTGGCTGCCTGGACCAGGGCACCTGGGGGCTGGCTGCGTGTCTCGGTCCTGGAGGCCCCTGGGAGCCCCAGGCTGACGCTGCTGTGCGTGGACAGAGAGGCCGCAGAGGCAAGTGGGTCAGGACAGCGTGGCCAGGAGCTGAGCGCTGTCCCCGCACCAAGTTCCAGGGAACGGACGGAAGCTGGCGAGGAAGCATGTCCAGCACGCGGAAAATAGCTCACCCAATTATCCCCACTTAATTGTGCTGAAAAGCATCTAAATACTGCATGTTCTAATTATACCAGCGTTATTGGAATTCACCGTCCCTGGCGAGGGGTGACCTTTCCCAAGAGCAATTGTTGGGGGGGGCAAGGCCAGGCACCCCAACAGTTGCAGATCGATCTCAAACCCACAATTATTATTATTATTCTATTTATACAGCCCTCCATCTCTCAGATGCGCCGTTTCAGATCCACACGCAGCTGTTCCTGCAGCCTCACAAGGGGGCGGGCGCAGGCGGAGCGGCGAGGCCTCGGGAGGTCACGTCCAGGAGCCCCGCCCCGCACAGGCGGGCGCCCAGGCCGCCTCCCGGTCCCAGCGGCAGAGGTCCATGGTCGGGGGCAGAGGCGGGGAGAGGCGAGTGGGGTGGGCACCTCAGGGCTGACCGGGTCCTTCCCCTGCTCTCAACGGGCAGAGAGGACCCTGCAGGCCCGGCTGCCCTGACCCGGGCCCCAGGTCTGGGAGAGCCTGGGTTCCTCTGTCTCCTCCGTCAGGTGGGCTGGACCACCTGTCCCCCCAGCCCTCATCCGGGAGGCCTCCCCATTCCGGCAGCCTGGGAGCGATTGAAAAGCCCGAGGGCCGTCTGAGGGGCGGGGTGCTTGCGGGGACAGCTCTGACGGAGAGGCAGGAGCTGGGGTCTGCGCAGGCCACTCTCCTAGGTGCTGCATGGCCGTGGGCTCCTCACTTCGCTGCTCTGAGCTGGACTTGCCTCAGCTTTAGGGCAGGGCTGTGGGTGGGCTCAGATGATAACACCCATCCACACACTCGGCTCTGGGAGAAAGAGGGAGATTACTCGCCTATCTGAAACAACCGGAAAAACAAGACACAAAAACGCAAGGGTGCTTTTAGGTCCTGGGCGGTGAGGGAGTGGGGGGGTGGCCCCGGCAGATGGGAGGTGAGCCCAGGACAGCCCCGTCTCCCCGAGAGGCTTTTCTGGGCACAGGGGGGAGACACTGAACAGAGGGTCAGCTGAGAGCTGGGGAGACCCAGGGGCCAGAGGGTGCAGGGCAGAGCGCATGAGACGGGAGCCAGGCCTCGAAGACGGCCCGAGCAGAGGGTCCCTGAGCAGCCCCCAGGGAGCTGATCAGTCCATGAGCAGGAAAGTGCCCAAGACCAGGAAAAGTCCCCACAGTGGTTCAGAGTGAACATCACCACCACAGACGCTCACACTGCTGGGTCCCTGCCAGCCCCCCGGCCACGCCAGGGAAGCATCGCAGGGCACAGGGCGGT